ATTGAAGTCCCCCAGCAGAACAAGGGAGTCTCCAGCAGGAGTACTCTCCAGCACACCCTCCAAGGACTCCAAAAAGGGTGGGTAGGCTGAGCTGCTGTTTGGTGCATATGCACAAACAACGGTCAGGACCCGTCCCCCCACCCGAAGGCGGAGGGAGGCAACCCTCTCGTCTACCGGTGTGAACCCCAATGTACAGGCACTGAGCCGGGGGGCAATGAGTATGCCCACACCTGCTCTGCGCCTCTCACCGTGAGCAACTCCAGAGTGGAAGAGAGTCCAACCCCTCTCGAGAGAACTGGTACCAGAGCCCAGGCTATGTGTGGAGGCAAGTCCGACTATATCCAGTCGGAACTTCTCTACCTCGCACACCAGCTCGGGCTCCTTCCCTGCAAGAGAGGTGACATTCCACGTCCCTAGAGCTAGCTTCTGTAGCCGAGGATCAGACCGCCAGGGTCCCCGCCTTTGGCTGCTGCCCAACTCACATTGCACCCGACCCCTTTGGCCCCTCCCATGGGTGGTGAGCCCGTGAGAAGGGGGACCCACGTTGCCTCTTCGGGCTGAGCCCGGCCGGGCCCCATGAGTGTAGGCCCGGCCACCAGGCGCTCGCCAACGAGCCCCGCCTCCAGGCCATCCATTCTCTAATGTCCTAATCCTCACACCGGTGCCAGCGTATCCTGGCTGTCTTCAGGCAGTAGGCGGCGTACACCCTGAACTGGTTGCCAGCCAATCGCAGGGCACACATAGGCCATATTTATCATGAATTCAATGTAAAAATGGATATTAGCATGTATGGTTCTGAAATTCGAATTATGAATTTGAAGCCTTAAAATGCAGCAAAATGATACTCATTTCAGTTTTGAATTCATTCACGCAAAATGATCTTTGGGAAATATGGTCAAATAGTTAAAATATATGCATTCATAGCGCTATTCAAAAGTATACTTTGGAAAGTGGAAAACCTTTGAAGACAAAAAATCATGTTTTACATTTGATTTTCCATTTTTTCCTCCTAATTTAATTCAGCAGGGGTCTCTAAGCTCAGAGAAAGAGTTATCACAATACTTCTCACCGGATATTACCAGCCACCCATTCCTGACGAAATCTTTGGGCTCAACTACAGATGAGGCAAACCAACAAAACATCTCCATTGATGACATCGCATCACAGCCTCCAGGTAAAATGATTACAATGTTTTCATGACAATTTAGGTCGCAGCCACAACGAAAGAATAAAACCTGACAAGATAAACATAGCAAGACATGTTAAATATGATGTAGAGTTCTTCTCTTAACAATTAAATAAATTGTGAGTCAAAAAATGTGAACTTCACTCATTCAATGCCAAAACGTAAAAATGCAAAAACCCGATCAATAGTGCCAAAATGTATCAATACATTTTTGGTGTTTTTTTTTTTTTTTTTTAAATAAGAACAAATGGGGAACCTGCTCAGTGTGTCTGAAGGCTGATTTCAGGATGATAAATCACCACTAGATGGCAGGAGTGGCTTTGATCAGATCTTGGTCACACACAGTGGGTGTGGGTGTGGGATGTGGTATGGCGATCCTACATGTGAGGTGATGTGCAGAAGCAGTGTGGTGTTGAGAACATGGCAAAATACCAGCACCGAACTACACACACACACACACACACACACACACACACACACACACACACACACACATGCAAAGCTCAACGTTCATGAAAACTTCGTGCACAGGTCATACATTAGTGGTGTGTTTATCTTGCAATAAACTGCTATTTTGCAATAAAAGTGCCCTCTTTGTGTTGTTTATGTTGCTATTTAGTAGGAAAGCCTTGTTTAAATATTTGAACTATCACGAATGCCATCCAAAAAAGACCAAAGTAAAAGTTCTGCATCCTTTCACAAAAAGCTCTTTTTCTCAGATTTCTTCTTGAAAATGAGTATTTTCAAGAAACTTACCAATATTCAACTGCTGTTGACTCTATAATGGTAAAAGGTAGAATTGGAGTTTTTTTTTCCCGATGAAAGAAGAGGGTTAATGCTTTCTTTTGGTAGGTTCTAAAATTGATCATAATGGTCAAAAATGGCAATTTGAAAAAAAGAGCTGGCGTTAAACGAGTGAAAATGGTAAGTCCCTAGTCAAGTTCAGATAATTGTGTAACGCATAAAAAAATGTAAAATGCTATTTCCTCACCAAAAAGCCCCCCAAAGTGGTGTTTTCCTCTATTCACCCATCTCGGAGCATTCCTGCTCATTCCTGGTTTCTCAGCACCATCCCCTCCCAATCCAAGAAAACGACTGGGTCCTCACTTTTCTACAACACAAAGTGAACAGTCAGGCCCTTCCCACTTTCTCAGAGCAGACAGCGGGATGCGCAATAAGCATTTTCGAAAAAGAGGCGCTATGAGCAGCCACCCCGGCCTAGGCGCCGGCGTCTTTGGTGACAGACCATTCAGCAGCTGTTTGTCTGATCCTCATTTGTCCGAGTACTGCCTGGCCAACTTTGACCAGTACAAAAGGGGATTGGCCAGGGCATTAAATCTTAAAACTGGCACAGTGACCACAATCAAACCTGCTGATTTGGCCAGAGCTGTATGTCAATCAAACCGCTAGCTCAGTGGTTCTTAACCTGGGTTCCATCGAACCCTTGAGGTTCAGTGAATCATTCTCAGGGGTTTGACAGAACTTCTGCCATGGAGGATAAGTCACATCTGACTCAACGTGTCAATTAATTATGACACGCCTGCTTGGCCATCACTGGCTGGTTCATTTTGTGCACAATTTAAAAAAATTATACTTTATACTTATACTAATTCTGTTGACTTTTTTCTGTTTTTGATATATGCGTTTTTTTTTTTTAATGTCTTGAAATTTTTCAGTAATGAAGGGTTCGGTGAATGTGCATATGAACTGGTTGGGTTTGGTACCTCTCACAAGGTTAAGAACCACAGTACTAGATAAATGATGACATCATATTAGCATTACAGTTAAACTCCTCTGCAACGAAACCTACATGGGTGAAAATACCCCCTAGTGTCAAAAAATTTTCATGCATGAAAGCCATTCCGACTTTTCTGCTCCCCCAACAACGAAAAGTCCCCCTGTTCCGTTATACGAAATCTTTTTCCCTGCTCTTGCCTCGCAACGAGATTCACCACAATGAAAACAAGCCTTCCGCAAAAGTCTAATCCAACCTCAGCATGCCACAGCGACCTCTGCTGCTTTGTTCAGAAACTGCAACAGCACCCACCACAGTGGTTTACTCATGCGCAGTAGTACAGGAAGTATTTTTTTTAGACACGAACGTTACATTGCTAAAATGGCGACAAAACGGACCTTTGCATACCAAGGAGTTAAGAAAAGAAAAGCTTTAACGCTTAAAGACAGGATAAAAATAATACAAATGAAAGATGGAGGAAGCAAAATAAAAGACATTATGCAAGAAATTGATGTAAGTGAAAGTAAATGCTGATCGTAAATTCCTCAGTTTCTTTCCCTTTTTTTCTTTCTACGGTGGCTATATGAAGTGTCAAATAAGTGTATGCTCATACTTATGCACTATTGGAATAAAAATAAAAAGTACGCATATATGTTTTTTGTGTGTGTTCGTATTGACGTCTGAGATAAAATTTGCTACAGTGAAAAGTCCCCTGTTGTGAAAAATTTCTTGCTGCAAACATGATTTCGTTGTAGAGGAGTTTCACTGTAATGCACGTTAGCTATGTTGTCAAGCACAATATGTCAGATGTATTTGGTTGTGCAAAGTATAAAAAATAAACTTACTAATGACACACATTACCATGTGCGTGGATGAATAGTACCTCAATGCTGTATTACGATTGACACGTGACTCTGGATCCAGGACGGAGGCCCCACAATATACAGTAATCCCTCTTTTGTCTTGGTTAATGGGGACCAAAACCACCCGCAATAAACGAAAATCCGCGAAGTAGCGACCAATTGACATATATATCAAAAAAAAAAAAAATTGCCCCACGTGGGCCTTTGCGCTTGAGAAGAGCGCACTAACACACACACACACACACACACACACACAGGCCAGGGATCCCATGGCAGACGTGTTTATGATTAGTCAATTAAGGATGGGAGAGACCTGC